GAAGGCCCAGGGAGAACAGTAAGGGGCCGAATAGGGAGAGAATTGGAGTAAGAGAATTGAGACAACGGTGATTACATCGGCGAGGTGTGGACTGCGGTGTAGGGGAGGAAACGGAGCTGCAGATAGCGCCCCCTAGCGGAGGGGGCAGTATAAGGGCAGCCTCCCGCTGATTAACACTAATTAATTAAGACCAAGGTATGGCAGGCGAGTAGGCGGGCGGTTGCCCCAGAGACGGGTGTGGGACACATTGAGGACGGCCCAGAGTGACGACCTGTCACAACTTGCCAACCTGTTCACTCATCTCCCCTTGTGGTATGATCCTCCCAATGGATTGGATGATTGCTCAGTTGCAGCTACATTTATTATGAAATCATCCTTTCCTAGCCCTGGTGATGATGAATTACTCTCTCTCCCAGGAAAAGTCTCATTTTCAGCCACCTGTCTCATTGTCAGCTACCTATGATTTTCAGTGCCACAAGTCCTCGCTTTAAACCTTCACTGACAATAAGCTCACTTCTACTCCTTTTCCTGGAATTACACTGAGAAGATAAATATTATCCATCCATAAGAGTGTCCAATATCTCTTTCTTTTGGTATTCTGAAAACAGTGAAAGCTTTATATTTTTGCTCCCCAGTACATCATGGCTCACTGCATCTCCACACCTGTCCCTGGTGACTGTCAGTTTAATGCCCTTTCTAAATCAGGAGTGGTTCGTGGTTTGTTTCCTATGACCATCCCTACACCACTTGAGTGACAAGGACCATTACCTCTTGAAGGCTTCTCACTGCAGTGCCTTCTCTTTCATCTTACAAGCCTATTCTCCCTTGTCCATCAAGGCCCTAGTAGACACCTTGAGTTCATTGGATCCATTCCCCAAATCCCAGTTGGTTATTCAGTCACAAACACTCTTTAATGACTGCCCAAACAGGATATCGAGGTCCCACACCCGCCCTAATCTGCAGCATCCAGCAAGGACAGGTGGAGCTCTGGGTCTGTGATGATGAGGACCATGGAGAAATCTCAAGATCAGAGGACCCGCTGCCAGGTGAGTTGTGGTTGTCCCCATCACCCAACTGGTGTCAGTAAAACTCATGGCCAGAGTGCCAGGGGGACCTGGAAACTGTAGGCCTGCCCTGTGCCGCCATTCCAGGGTGCTGACCTCAGACACAATGTATTATGCTGTAATGCAAGGGCCGGCAATTATTCTGGCTGTAGGGCCGCTTAATGAGTTTTAGTGAACTGTTGAGGGCCGCAAGGGTGCAAGTCCCGCCGCTAACCTCTGACCGTTGCTACTGGAAGTCTCTCCCCTTTCCCCTAGAAGTATTCCTTTTGGGAAGGGGGTTTGCCATCTTGGACCCAGGAAAAAAACACAAATTATGTACTAAAAATCAAAGATCCATAATAATATATTTTAATTTTTTAAAATATTTTTTCCTGATTTGTGTGTGTTTGTGCTGTGTATATGTAGAAGTGATTGCATAATAGCTCAATGTGAAATCTTACTCTTGTATCTTGTGGAGGGGTGGGTATGGGGTTTGTGGGGCCTGTGGGTATGTGTGTGGATGTGCATATGTGGCGTGTGGGTGGGTATGGGGTTTGTGGGGGCTTTGGGGTGTGTGGATGGGGAGGGGGGCTGGGGGTGTATGTGTGTGGTGTGTGTCTGTGGCAGTGAGCGGGGCTCCCCCGAGAAGCATGCAGGTAAGAGTGTGGGTAGGTGTGGTGTTTGTAGCGTGTGTTATTGTGTGTGAGGCAGGATGTGGTTGTGGGTTTTGTGGGGGAGGGTTTGAGGGTATATGGCGTGTACATGGGAGGCCCCGGCCCACAACAGCCCAGAACCTGCATACCCTGCAGCACCTCCCCCACCCCTGCCAACAGTGAGCAGCTCCAGCGTGGCCTATGCCCACTCTACCCTGTGCTTGAAGCATCCTACCACCCCTGCACATGCAGCATGGCTAGGGTGGCTCCTTCTTGCTACTACAGCCCCCAGGTGCAGGCTCCTGGCAGCTACACCTATATAAGCATGAACAATGGGAGGGGGAGAGCCTGCTTTTGCTGTGCGCTGAGCAGCAGTTTCAGTCTTGCACTGCAGCTGCTCGGCCCAGATGAGCGAGCCCGCAGCTGGTGTGGGGCACACAGGGTCAGGGCTGCGTGTGCTGGTACCTGTCGCTACCACGGGGCTGGTGGCAGCCAGAAGGAACATCCACTGCTCACATTGCCTAGAAACATAGCCCAGCTCTGGAGCTGTGCCAGCCCTGCTGCATACCCAGGGGGTGGCAGGATGCGCCATAGCCAGGCCATGCTTCGGCCAGGCGGAACCCAGGAACCTGCTATGGGCAAGACAAAGCCCCTCTGCTGGTTGAATACATCCTGCAGGCCGTATGTTGCCCATCCCTGTTATTATGTGTCCAGAAAGGTGTTGTTCCCACTCTGAAATTCAATGATGTGGATGTTAGGAGATAATCAGGCTTGCTGTCTTAATTTTTCAGACCAGGCTGCCACGATCTTAAGTTTCCATCTTCACTCAGCAATGTAAGAGTTAATTCCCCCGGCTCAAGGTAACCATACCTCTCTAACACCCTCTCCCAGGGTATGATGGGATTTGAAGTCCCCAGTTGAAATCATATGGTAGACAGAGAGGTTATGTGTAGCCATTCCTGTTGGACAAGAAAGCAGCTGAGGCTCTTTCTGGCTGATTCTGCTGACGATGACCTGGAACCCAGGAAGAGTTTCAGCATGGTCTCAGGCTGCATTAAATGGCTCCATGGCATGGATGAGATTCACAAGATTTCAGGTTGTGGGGGGAAGTGAATTCCCCATGGTATCCATGAGAATTGTCCCTTTCTTGTTTCGTCTCTAGGGCCTTCAGTGTCACGAAGCCTGAGACTCAGCACAGAGTCCAGGTTCAGGTTCATGCCAAGGCCTTAACCCCTTTGAAGACTGCTGGGACATGGAGGCCACCTGGGACCTGTCAGCAGAGGAAAGCTCCATGGGGGCATTCTCTGCATAAGACCTTTCCCTGGAAGCTGGCAGGAAGCACAGCACTGCTCCGCTTGGAAGAGAGAGGCACAGCTCTACGTCTTCCCCTCATCCTTAGCCCAATAGAGCATGACACTATTCAGGCAGTTCCCTAACACACATGTCCCACATGTGCTTGTCTCAGCAGGGCCTGAGGCAATAGTATGGACAGTGGAGCCAGAAACTCAGTCTGGCTCTGAACTCCACTGAGTAGGCAACATTAGCCCAGCACAGGGACCTGCCCTTCCCTCACCCCCAACACTTGGGGGTTTTGACAGGAAGACCTTGCTTTCTTGAGGGAACACAAGTGCCAAGGTCCACGCCTGCTTTAAGGCCCATCCCAGCAGAAGGAATAGCAGTGTGTGCCCTTTGCCAGCAGGGCAGAGACTAATCTGGAGTTTCTTCCCCATGCAGGAAGTGCCTGGCTGCTGAGCAGAGCTGAGGAGCAGCATCCTGCAGAAGGGTCTTCAGACCTGGAGCTGGCACGGACTTCCCCAGGGAATTTGGATGAGGTGGACTCCCTGGGACCTGAGAAGGAGCAATGGTACACAAGTTGGGGGAGGCCCCAAAAGCAGACGGAGAACTTAACGTAGAATGAGGTACCATCTCCAGTTGAGCATGAGAGTGAAGAAAGGGCAGGGAAAAACTTCAAACAATCCCCTAACCTGGCCCAGCACCAGCTTGTCCATATGGGGGAGAGGCCATATCGGTGCTTAGAGTGTGAGAAGAGCTTCACCCGTTCCTCCCATCTGGTCCGGCATCAGCTTATCCACACAGGGGAGAAGCCACATCAGTGCTTGGAGTGTGGGAAAAGCTTCAACCGATCCTGTACTTTGGCCCAACACCAGCTTATGCACACGGGGGAGAAGCCATATTGGTGCCTGGAGTGTGGGAAAAGCTTCGTTCGTTGCTCCAATCTGGTCCAGCACCAGCTTATCCACACAGGGGAGAAGCCACATCAGTGCTCGTCGTGTGGGAAGAGCTTCTTCCTGTTGTCCAGCCTGACCAAACACCAGGTCACCCACATGGGGAAGAAGCCACATCTGCTCAGAATGTGGGAAGAGCTTCACTTGATCCTTCAACCTGTCCCGGCACCCACTCATCCACACAGAGAAGAAACCACATCAGTGCTCAGTGCAGAAAGTGCTTCTTCCACTCCAAACTGGCCCAGCACCAGTGCATCCCTATCTGGGAGTTTCTATAATTCTGCCAGCAATACAGGAAAGGCTTGGAGATGTATACCTGCTTAGCATCCACCAGTGTTTGCATGCAGGGAAGCAGTCCCATGCTGATGCACTGCAGCCATAGTTCACCCTTCATTAAGCCTTTCAAGGTACTGCAAAATTCAAAGTACATAGTTTCATAGTTTCAGGGTCGGAAGGGACCTAATAGATCTTCTAGCCCGACCCCCCGCCAGGGCGGGAGAACAACCCCAAAAAAGATCCCCAGGGTAGGGGCCAGCACCACCTCCCTTGGAAGTTGGTTCCAGCTCCTAGCCGCCCTAACTGTGAAGTAGTTTTTTCGGATGTCCAATCTGTACCTCCTCTCCATCAACTTGTGCCCATTACTCCTTGTTATGCCAGCGGGGGCTAGGGGAAACAGCGTCTCCCCCAAACCCTTCTGGTTCCCCCTAGTGAGTTTATAGACGGTCACCAGGTCCCCCCTCAGCCTTCTCTTGTGGAGGCTGAATAGGTTCAGGTCCCGCAGTCTCTCACTGTAGGGTCTGCCCTGTTGTCCCCGGATCATGCGGGTGGCCCTCCTCTGGACCCTCTCCATGTTGTCCACATCCCTCCTGAAATGGGGCGCACAGAACTGGACACAATACTCCAGCTGCGGCCTGACCAGCGTCGCATAGAGGGGGAGGATCACCTCCCTGGCTCTACTCGAGATGCACCTGTGGATGCACGACAAGGTCCGGTTAGCCCTGCCAACCATGACCTCGCATTGTCGGCCCATGTTCATCTTGGAGTCAATAATGACACCAAGATCCCTTTCCGCCTCCGTGCTCTCAAGTAGGGAGCTCCCCATCTTATAAGTGTGCTGCTGGTTCCTACTACCCAAGTGCAGCACCCTGCACTTGTCCGTATTGAAACACATCCTGTTCCTGTTTGCCCATCCCTGTAACCTATCCAGATCCTTCTGCAATCTCTCTCTCCCTGCTAGCGTGCTCACCTCCCCCCAAATTTTGGTGTCATCAGCAAATTTAAACAGGTTGCTTTCCACCCCAACATCAAGATCGCTGATGAAGAAATTGAATAGCGCAGGGCCCAGGACCGAGCCCTGGGGGACTCCACTACCCACCTCCCCCCAAGTCGAATATGATCCATCCACCACCACCCTCTGAGTGCGACCCTTCAGCCAATCTGCAATCCATCTGACCGTGTAGTAGGCTGGCCTCCCAGGTTAGATGCGGGTGAGGGGTTAAAAGAAACACCTCAGGCAGAGACCAGCCCAGATGCTGGGGGAACCTGTGAGGAGATGATCTTTGCAACAGTCTTGGAGCCTGTGCTATCCCTATCATTCTCTAAAAGCAGCCAGTGCTCCTAGGGGGAGAAGTGCCTTCACAATAGGTCCCTTTCCCAAGACAGCTGGCTCCAAATGACATCCAGGGATTGTCTTTGGCCGACTCCCAGCTTCGACTTCCATCCTGGTCCCAGGTTTCTTGTATGTGAGGCTCTAGAGTTGTAGGAAGGAGGACGTTTATTTCTAGGGAATCATTCTCTTCCACCCTGACCATACCTTTTCTCCCCATGGCATCACCTGTCTCCCAGGCCTGCACATGCCCATCAGGGTCTGTAGGAAACTGCTACTGCCACCCCATGAGCCCAGTTTCTCAGGTTTTGCTTCTCAGCCCCTCATCAGAACGGCACCGCCAAGTGTGAGCTGCTCCCCTCTTCTGCCCTCCCCACCCCCCTGCCCTGCACCTTCCTTCCCTTCATGCCATTCTCTAGAACAGATTCCTTGGTAATCAAACCCCACAACTTAACATAATACCCCTGTGGTTGGTCTCTATGTCCTCTCCAGGGCTGTGACATGGGAACAGAGCAGGGGCCAGAACTCTTTCCTGGGAAGATTTCTCTGTGATTGCTCAGCCCCTTCCCTTTCCAGGGGATTCATCACAATCCAGGGGTTTTTGCTAAGCCTCAGGAGCAGAAGTTGGTCACATTCAAGGCATCACACCCATGTCCTGCTGTGCAGCCAAGGACCCTGCCCTTTTGAACGAACCTCTTGCCAGGGGCAAGTAGAGTCTCTTTTCTGGGTTAAATGCAATAGTTGGGGTAAAGGAGGTGCAGCCTATGACAGGTCCTGCTATTTCTGTGGAAGGGTGGGGATGGTATAAAGGCATCCTCTGGGTGAAATGCAGCATGTTGTAATCTCCCTTTGGGAAAAGTGAGACTTCCCTGCTACTGCCAAAGCCCTTTGGCTCCACAAGTGTCCTGTAGGAGTTACTACAAGAGGTTAGTAACCCATCCTGCAGAAGAAGCCCTTGGGGTTACAATGGGCAATAAACTGAATATGACCCAACAGTGTGCCCTAGTTGCCAAGAAGGCTAATGGCTTGTAGGGCTGTATTGGTAGGTATGTTGACAGTAGGTCAAGGGAAGTGATTATCCCCCTCTATTCAGCACTGGTGAGACCACATCTGGAGTACTGTGTCCAATTTTGGGCCCCCAGTACAGAAAGGATGTGGAGAAATTGGAGAGAGTCCAGCGGAGGGCAAAAAAATGGTGGGGGGCCTGGGGCACATGACTTTTGAGCACAGGGTGCGGGAACTGGGCTTGTTTAGCCTGGAGAAGACTGGTGGGGGCTTTAATAGCAGCGTTCAACTACCTGAAGAGGGGTATGAAAGAGGATAGAGCTAGACTGGTTTCAGTGGTGGCAGATGACAGAACAAGGAGCAACTGTCTCAAGTTGCAGGAAGGGCAGTTTAGGTTAGATATTGGGAATAATTTTCTCACTAGGAGGGCAGTAAAACACTGGAACAGGTTAACCAGAGAGGTGGTTGAATCTCCATCCTTGGAGGTTTTCCAGACCTGGTTAGACAAAGGCTTGGGCTGGGATGATCTAGTTGAGGCTGGTCCTGCCTTGAGCAAGGGGTTGGACTAGATGACCTCATGAGGTCCCTTATAACTCTAAACTTTCCATGATTCTATGATGCTGAAGCAGAATCATTCATCTCCTAACTGTCCTGTCTGCTGATACCTCCAGTGTATAAATTTGCCTCCTCTCTTTCCCCATGTAACAGTGTTTAAGAAAATAAACTTGTGACTTTTGAATGAGCATCAGGTGTTTGGCAGAAGGGTTGGTTTGTCTTGTTGTTGGAAGTGGCCACAGAAAGAAGGGAGGGAATAAGGGTTTGACAAATTTTGAATGTGCCCATTTCTTGTTGAATTTCTAAGGGGTGGTGGAGTTTGGGGGCAATATGTGTAGGTGCGGGAATGTGCGTCAAAGAACTGGAATCCGAACCATCCCTTTCCAAGAGGGGAACATGGGTGCAGATCAGTTAAGGTCCCCTGATGTCTCTTCAGAAGGCCTGACTTCAAAGCCTGCTTCCCACATTCAGTTCCCACTTTTTTGTGACAGTCTTATGAAGTAGAGAGATGGTGCGTAAGCATTTGATGCATAAGCATTTGTTGTCACGGCCCACAAAAGTCCACTAAAGCCCCCACTCTCCAAAATGGGTCAGGCCCCATGTGGGGGTGCAGCCAGCCTCATTTGCTGCCAAGAGAAAGGGCAAATGTCTGCTTCTCTCCCACAGCAGCTCCAGCAAGTGACTGGGAACATGGGAGAGTCCAGCTGAGACCCTGCTGATGAGGTCAGGCCTCCACTTCCACCCATGGTTCAGATTCCAGAGACCCAACGGCCTGCTGAGGAAGGTGAAGTTGGAGGTGGTGATTTCAAGCCCAGCTGCACTTCCCACATCTGGCAGCCAGTGTCAGGTTTACTGCTATCTATTGATAGCCCTCTCCCCACCCAACCAAGTAAAGCTTCCAGTTTTACTGGCCTGCAGCAGCCCAGGGACCCTTTGAATATCTGAAATGGGCCTTCACCCCTGCCTCTTTGCTAGCTTGTCCAGACCCCACCTTGTCATCTGTGAAAGCAATAGATGCATCTAGGACTGTAAAAGGTGTGGTGGTCTCACAGTGGCAGGCCCCAGACCAAATCCCGCATCCATCCCTTCATCTTGTTTTCCTGCAAACTCACCTTAGGGAAAAAGAAATCTTGAGATCCTGACCTGTCAACTCATGGGCATCAGTGGCTTTGGGGAAGTGGTGGCAATGCTTTGAAGAGCTATGGCACAAAGTACAGGTTCTTACAGATGACAAAAACCTAGTTGTCAATCTGCATCCCCAGAAACTGGCACAAGAAGCAAGGGGGTGGTTCCCACTTGTATATAGAAAATCACAGGGGTTAGGGTCACAAGTCAATGGGCGAAGGGAGGGAACAAGTAAAAGGTCAAAAAGCAATGTTGTGGTACCATACATTTAGCACCTTAATTCTCTGCTACCCCTCAACCCCACCAGCAGTGTTCCCCAAACAAGCTGTTAGTCCCAAGAGCGATCAAACGTGCAGCTGCCCCAGGGTCTGAATCCAGCTCCTTCAGCCCACCGTCCTGGCTGACCAAGCCAGTGAGATCTCCAGCTCCACTGCACACTCCTCTGGGTAGGGCTGGCCAGGCTTCATGGCACACTGTTCTCTTTCCCCCTTACTTCAGCCTCAAGCTTCATCTTCCATTTTTCCTTCCTCCCCAGCCCCAGGGGTTTCTGGGATTTGTAGTCCAGACTCCCACTGAGTACAGCTCTGCAGACTGCTCTTGGTTTCTCTTGCAGTTACACACATTACATTCACATCGTACTAGAATATTTGTGTGTGACCAAAACACTCAACTAGAGCAGCTTTGCTGGGGTGGCTGTTTTCCTTGTCCTACTTTGAATTTCAGATGATGTAGAAATGGGAAGGTGGGTGCTATTTCCCAAGAAGTGGAATATGACACTTACCGGGCACAGATCATTGGAACCTAGCCCCATTTTGAAGCCACAAAACATCCTCACACCACCTTGCCAATGGCTCTGCTGTCTGTGCCACCACTTGGAAGAGGTCTGTCCTGAAGAGCAGGCTGCTTGCACGTGACCCCTGCCTCAAGTCCAGGCTGGGGTTCTCTTCTCTCAGGGTAAGATTTACATGCCCCCATATCTAGTCAAGTCCATGGTACTATGTTTATGGCATGACTCATTGTTAGCTGGTCACCCTGGAATGGAGAAAACCTATCAACCCACTACTTGGTGACCAGTGAAAACCCCTGTGGTCTCTTCCAGCCCCTTTCCATTCCCTCTCGGCCTCTTGTAGGCTAAAATCAAGTGCAGTTCTTCACCAGTTGAGTGGGTTCTCTATGATCTGGATGATGACATATTTACTCAGATGGTGCACCGCATCCCATGT